AATATAAAATGCGCCATTTTTTCTCGCCATTTTTTCTTTGAATTTAGTCAGTGTAACATACAATTACTAATGGACAAACCTTTTTTGTTCTCTTGAAGACCCGACACCTGGCGGACGAGAAAGGGTCGATTTTGTCAGAATCATCCGGAATCTCCTCGATTTTTACCCTGCTCGTCGATATTAGCCTTGCGCTCGTGTGTCTCTTGTTTTGAAGCATGCTTTTGGTGGAGAAAGTGCCCTTTGGGGTCTCCATGATCAAAACTGTATCTGGATTTGGAGCCCTGCGAATGGAAGGTATAAAAAATGATGCCTATGGAAATCATCGGTTCTTATTTGGTTTTCAGTTTTTTCACCTGTGATAGGCGCAATACGAAACCATTTTCGTGAATTGTTTCCCGTTCTTTTCAAGGCAGTGCAGCTGAAAATCGGCAGCATAAGCTATATGAGAATTGTGTAAAACAATTAAATTCGACAAAAAAAAAAAAAAAATGATTAGTCGATGACCTCCATGCGATATCCTGCTCTGGATGCACACATTGCATGGTAATATGTAGAACACTTGCTACATTGCGTGCAAGAACCGTGAATTTGTTTGCAGACGACACAAATCTGAAACAAATGTAAAAGATTCGAGACTGAAAAACATGTAACAGATGTGAAAAAAACGACCCGCACGTAAGAAAACATCAAAAGTTAACACCTTTACGAAAGAGCTCGAGGGGATTCTCAGTATGCCGAGTGCAGGTTCCATTTCTTCTTCGCTTGCGAACGAAACTTCTGGTTGAAACCAAGCACAAGTGACGTGAACCCACAAAGACGCCACATCAGTAGCCTTGAGTGCACCCCCTGAATGAATCACCCAACGGGTAAAAAGTTGTTCGTAAATAAAAAGAAAAAAAAAAGAGAAATCATCATATAACAAATCAACAAGTTCTTTCGGTTCGTGTACGAAAATGAGGTCACGATATTGCAAGAAAGAAGATAACTTTAGGCTAAATAGAAAATTTTGTCTTATTGAATTATGAATGTAGCAATTTAGGTCCCACTGAAGTGACATATAACGTCACTCTAGTGGAACCTAAATTGCTACCTTTGGGGGGCAAAATTGCATTTTAGCCGTAACTTTATATTAAATGCTTGCGATTATATTAAAGTCAAGGAGAAACATGCCTTTCACAGGACACAGGCAACATTGGCGCTCGATATGAGGTGTTTCACAAGCTCGGCAGACCCATGAAGTGAAATCACGAACATGTCTTGCTCCATAACATTCCTGATGAACGGCTATTTGACATCTGCCGACAAAAAGTAAAAAAAAAAAATCAATAAAAAAAATAAAAATCCAGAAAACTAGTAAAATGCAGACACAAATTTATAAATGTTTGTTCATAATGTGAAAAAAAGAAAAAAGAAAAGAAAAATCAAGAGGTTTCAACCATAACCTGCTATCGATGTGAGAGTTCAGATTGAAGAGAAAAATCATGAGATATGGAGCAAAATACCTAATACAAATAATAATTTTGTTGTTGTCCCAATCTTCGATCCATCGACAAACAGCGCACCTCTCTGTTGTCCACTTGGCATGAACAGGTTCATAGGGTTCTATACCATATAAATGCTATCATCAAGCATCAATGATAAAAACAAATACATATATAAATAAATACAACAATTAAAAGACAAGTTTATTCTTAAATGTCAAGAGAAACCTTGTAGGAAGTTAAGCAACTTCTGCCTCCGCACTTTGATAGAAGGCCGTTTTACAGGTTTAGCCGGAACAAGACTTTGTTCGTGATACTCCGCCATCTGTAGCATCTGTCAGAGAGGAACAAGAAAGGTGTAATCTTTTTCACAATTACTACATGATTGAAAAAAAAAATTAAATTAAATGAAAATTTCAGTTTGAAGAAGAAAGAACAGACCCATTGTTCGAGGGACAATAAGGAGCCTTTCACCCTCACGCTCGATTTCCAATTTTTAGTTCTTGAACCAGTGTGCCTCTCCCAATCACTTAGTGCCTGCTTTTCAGTTCCACATGAGCCACACTTGCAAACAACTCTGTACAAGTTTGTAATAGATAACAAACATTATTGCTTCCGGCAGATTAAAAAAATATCAAGATCGAATTTAATTGGAAAATGAACTAATTTAGCTTACAAATGAAGGCTTGGAAAATAAATCCCCTCCACGCCGGAGCACACAACAGTAACCTTGTTTGGCAGTGCAGGTTTATTAGCATCCTTTTTGCTGTTTGTGCACAATGAAAAAATCATAGTTCTCAGTGATTTTTTGAAGCATATATAATAAAAACAGTTTAAAAAGTCCCATGGGCAGCAAAACTTACTTTGATTTATATTGGTAATTTTCGGAATCTGATAGTTCGAAGTTAAACCTAGCTTTGCATTCAGGACAGTAATAATTATTTGTTCCAAGATCCTAGGAACACAAATGGGAGATTCATTAATATATTCAAGATACTCTATAATAAGACGTTCACTAAAAAAAAGGTTTGTAGTAAATGAACTCAAGCGCACCTTGACGTTGTATTTCGAGAATTTGTCACACTCTGTGTGGACCCAAACTTTACAGCCATTGCAACGAATCTATTTTTTCGGTAGAAATGTTAGTAACATTGTAAAGTCAATCATTTATCTTATCTAGAGGGCATAAAAAAGAACATAGAAACTCCAAATTGATTAGACAAGTGAGATCTCACCCAAGTTCCTCTGTCTGATTGATTCCGAATCTTTTTACAGATTCCACAAAAATGTTTCATCTTTTTCAACTGAAACCAACAGAAAAAATGATTTCTTACAAAAAATTACAGAAACTATCAATGAACAGTTTGCTAAAGGTAAACCAAGCAACAAACCCTGGCACAAGAAGTACACAAGCGACTGGTGATGGTACAAGCATCCGAACTATTTGATTTCCTCGAAAAGTTAGGTACAATGCTCACACCACAAGCTTCACAAGATTTTGATCCTTGCTTCATATGAACAGCCTGCAAAAAAAAAATTAAATCTTTCTCTAAATCCATGTCAATACAGAAAGTATTTCTATCTCGGCAGGTACTTCATTTACTTTACACGAATCCTGATTTCCAATTTACGAAGAAATCACAATTAAAGTTAGATACTTCCCCAAATTAAAACCAGAAAACAAAAGCCAAGCTCAATGGCATTTAGAAAAAACTAAAGCAATTGATGTCCTAACTTCTAACGCACAAAATTATTAGTTTACAGATGCTACCAGACCTACCCGCTCTGCAAAGTTGCAGTTTTGATCTCGATTCGAATTGGAAGCCTCGAAGGCCCCTCTCGTAAGAGTACGAAGATAATCCAAGTTCCCAGCTGCCGCATTAATTTCAACCATCAACATTTCAACAAAACCATTTTCTGCCAAGAATGCTTCTTCTATTGCAGAACGTAGATCACAGGGCTTGCTATCATTAAGTTCAGTCTGCCCTTGGAACCTAAACCAACATATTTTCCAAAATTATTCTCACATGCCCCTAGTGATTCATTTAGAGGTCAAACAAACAAGAACCAAAAGAAAAATAAAAAATAAAAAATTTATCCACAATGAATCAATCACCTGTCCACATAATCTACAAAAGGAAATATCATCCCACTTTTAATCCACGCGTAATCCTGCTTGCAAAGTACAAAACCAAAATCAGCGCGAGTCCACTCGTTAGTTATTACAATCGGCAACCAAATGAAACGAAAAAAAAAAAAATGGAAACTTTACCCTTTGTGTTCCATTTCCAGAATAACCGAAGAACATGACACAAATGGCACCCGCAACTCGAAAATTGAAAACTTGTTGCGGAACCTGTGATTCTTGATCGAGCACGATAGCGGGCCAAGCTGGACAGTGCATACCAGACACGGCCCACACAACTTCAGCTACACCAAATTCATTGGTGCTGTAAAACTTATCGACCCCACTTATCTTCACGAGCTCGTCTGAATTCTCCTCGTCTCTAAACCCGTCATTCATCAGCTCGGCTATTTCATCCTCTGACAAAGGTGAGAATTTGCGGCATTTGTAGCCGTTACTAAACTTTTCGTTCCTCTTTCGGGAAAAGTTCGAGTCCCCATTAATGCCCACAGTTTTGAAGCTGAGCTTGCTATCCTTATCCTTCGCCGGCACGTAATCAGAGTCGAAATCGGGTTCTTTTGATGGATTCTTACTGACAACAGTCTTCTCTTTCTTCCAGTTATCTAAAACAGAGTCGTTGAATTTGGATGGCAGCACCTGAACCCTCCCCCGGGAAGTCCTCACCAGCGGAGGCCGGGAGACTTCCTTAGGTTTCGATTCAGATTCCTTGCACCTCGATTCCAGACTTCCGGCGTCTTCAGCGTCGGCCTCGTCATCCCCGCCACGTCCTTCTCCGGTGTCAGCCCCTCCATTCCCGGCCACGACGTCGTCCGCGGTGGCGGCCACGGGAAGTACTTTCTTGATTCCGTAGCCGCCGAACGGGATTATCCCAGCCGCAGCCTCGCCGAGGAGATGCAGGGGATAGTAACCGCTTGCGGCCCTGCGCCTCTTCCGACTCGCCGACGATTCCTCGTCGTCCCCGGCCGATTCGACGGCCCGGCACCGTTTCAGAATCGGCATTACCGATTTCAAGCTCCTCTTCACTATCATCCTCCCCCCTCCACCCCAAATCGCCCCCAATTCAAAACCCTAATCACCACCGCGAAAAAATCCCACCAGCCCACG